AAAAAAAAGAAATTAAAAAAAAAAAGTTGGAACTGGTTTCTAAGCATAGGTGCTTGAGACACCTCTGCTTCCGTTTTGGCTCCTGGCTGGTCAGCTCCCCTGGATTCTCCTGGTCCATCGTCCAGGGGAGCCCTGGGTCTCCAGTCACCTGGCCTGTGTCCCCATGCTGGCTCCTGGGTGTTCTGGGTGGGTGAGCTCACTGTGAACCTGTGTCCTGCCAGGTGAGGGTGGGGTTGATGGAGATGGAGATATCACCCGCCCAGACAACATCGCTGCATTCCGGAACTTTGTCCTGGATAACACAGATCGCAAAGGTGTCCACTTTCTAATGGCTGATGGGGTAGGTGACCTTTTCTCCGTATTGTGGCGCATTAGGCATTTGTTAATTCCTTTTTTTTTTTTTTTGAGACTGGCTCTCATATTGTAGCCCAGGCTGGCCTTGAACTGGAAGTGATCCTCCTGCCTCAGCCTTCTGAGTGCTGGTATTATAGATGTGCACTACCAGGCCAGCAGAGTTTTTGTAATTTCGTAAAAACTAGTGTTGTGGGACCCTCTCATTGGAGCAGTGTGGAACTGCTTAGCTCACTTGTTAAGGGCATTGGTTGGGTATGAGCCCACCTGAGATATGGAGCGTATCGTAGGCAAAACTGAGCGGGACACGTATTGTCATTTGGCACCTTGGTGTTGCTCCTTGGGGGACTGTTGGCAGGGCCCCACCTGAGCTTCTTGTGGCCAGCAGGTGGCCATGTAACCAGGCAACAGCTCAGGAACCCAGGGAGGTTGCAGTGAATATTTAGGGGCTTTGTGGGGAGCTGCTTGAGGTGCATTTGGGAACACAGCACTGCTTTACACCTAGTGACTACCACTGCAGGGTAGGGAGGAGCACTTTCTGGAGTGAGCCATCACTCATCTGTGTGGTGGTTGATCCAGGGACACTCGGCCAGAGACGGGAGGAGCTGTGGGAGTACTTTGGGCACCGACAAGTGGGGTGTCAGCAAGGTCTGAAGATGCCTGGCTCTCAGAGCATCGTCACGGCAGGGAACAGCAGAGGGCCGGCTGCTGGGGGATGCTGAGGAGGAAGGGGGCCCCACTGCACAGCTGCTGGCGAGGAGGTGGCGTGGTGTGGCAGTGTTGCTGACAAACCCAAGGACTGTCTTGGCTCTGGCAGTGGGATGGCTGGCTTGGGCCTTTTTTTTCTTTTTGGTTTGTTTTCTAATTGACCCTATAAGCAGGCATGAATTTTGAGAAGTATCTATGTCTGGAAGACGTTGCTAGACATTAAAAAACAACTTCCTTGCAAGCGCAAGGTCCCGAGTTCGATCCCTGGTACCCTCCCCCCAAAACAATAACTCCCCAGCTCCCCTCTCCCGGCGTGGCCTCCTTTACTTCAGTGTGAGTTTTGACCTCAGCGCTCTGCTCTCCGCTGGACTCCTGGGAGGGAACCACTTTTGGGGTGGGAGCACGCGTTCTTTGAGCAGACACCCTGGCAAGGAATCCTCCAAATGGCAGGAAGAGGCGCCACGGTCTTGGAGAGGTTGGGGAGGACTATAAGTAAATCCTTGGACAACAGAAGGATCCCTGGGCCTAGGTCCTCCTGGTGGTGAGCACAGTGGCTTACTGCTGACTACCATTGTGGATGTCTTTGGACTGGTGACGGTCTTTCTGCTCCCCAGCCTCTCTAGTGCCTCCTTGGAAGAGCAGGCTGTCTTATCCCTTGGGTGTGATAATGCAGGAAAGCCCCTCTTCTGCAGTCAGCCATGGCCCCAGGTCACCACCCCAGCCACCCAGTGACCTTGGGTCTGTCAGCAGGCTGGTGGGAGCAGCGTGAACGTGGGCAGGGGTTCTGTTCTCGGTCCTGCCCTCTTCACCCTGACCCTTTGCTCTGGTTCCAGGGCTTCTCCGTGGAGGGGCAGGAGAACCTGCAGGAGATCCTCAGCAAGCAGCTGCTGCTGTGCCAGTTCCTCATGGCGCTGTCAGTCGTCCGCACAGGTGACACTTCTTTGGCTGTTTCCTCACCTCAGGCCTCCTGGAGGCCCTGTGGGATAAGCACCTGCACAGTAGTTGGCTGGGAGGCTAAAAAGAGCAAAACCCAAGAGACAGCTGCTGTCAGTTGTCAGGTGGCTAAATGAAGAATCTGGGGAAGAACGGACGGTGGCCTCTCCAAGGTCCCCCCCAGAGCTGATTGTCCCGTACACCGTCTCTGGTGTTCAGTGGTCAGGCACTGGTTCCTAATTCTCAACCACTCCGCAGCGGGCGTGCCTTTCCCTGACGCTGCAGCTGTTTTCTCTCTGATCCAGGAGGCCACTTCATCTGTAAAACCTTCGACCTCTTCACACCCTTCAGCGTGGGGCTCATCTACTTGCTCTACTGCTGCTTCGAACGTGTGTGTCTCTTCAAGCCTGTCACCAGCCGGCCTGCCAACTCCGAGAGGTGAGGCTGTCCCCCAGCGCTGCTAGCAGCGGGCTGCACAGCAGCGGTAAATCCGCGCCTCTTCCTGGAGCGGCTTCTCAGTCCACGCTAAGGGCCTAGACGTTGAAGGTGGGATTAGAACGAGAGAGGCGAGCCTACAGCTTGTGTGCCGCGGCAGTCTGTTGTGTCTTTGAAAGCTCTAAAAAGTTTGCTGTCACTGGATCACAGCCACGAGAGCCAGGATCCTTGGGTCTGGGCCTGAACTGCGCCAGCCTTTGCCTTTTTCTCTGTGCTTCTGTGGGGAATTTGGGGCGTCGTCTGGGAAAGATGACCAATAACAGGGATACTTGCAGGGACACAGCCTGGGCAGAGTTGAGGTTGCCATCCAGAGGCACTGCTGGCACCCCGGGGGGTGCACAGTGCTCACGTGAGGGGGGAGGGCACCGCCCATCAGAACTGCCAGGGAAACACGCTTCTGGGCTGTCTGGCGTCTGTCTGCTAGGTCTATAGCTGGACAGACTCCCGGGTGTGAGTGAGGCGCAGTCCAACGCGGACCGCGGGGAAGCAGCACACAGGTGGAGATGCAGCCTCACCTACAGAGGCGGGATTGAGGGGAGCGTTTGCAGCTGACTCTGCTGTTCTTGGAATGGAAACCTAAGATTGCCTGAACAGACTGTCTAGCTTGTAGCTCTCCAAGGGGTTGAGGGGAAAGAAGTCGTGGGGAGGAAGCCTTTGCCCCCGCAGTGACAGGACGTTTCCTGCAGGTACGTGGTGTGCAAGGGCCTGAAGGTGGGCACGGACGACGTGCGTGAGTACCTCTTCTCGGTGAACATGAAACTCAACCAGCTGCGGAACACTGATGCCGACGTCAACCTTGTGGTCCCCCTGAAGGTGATCAAGGACGACCAGGAGTTTACTGACTACATGGTCCGCTCTAACGAGGGGTAAGCCGCCCGGCTGCTGCGTGGTGCCCCAGGCTGTGGAAACCAGAGGATGAAGCAGAGTGACTGGCTCTTGGTATCAGTGTCCTCTAAGCCTTGGGTTACTCTGGGACCCTTGTCCTGTCTCCGTGTCCCATCCCCCAGGTGGCAGGAGCCTGTGTCGTAGGGAAACCTAGCAGGAGTCACTTGCTGCTCTTTGCAGAAGCCCGTCATGGCTGTGGGCTGGCGATGCCCCCGTGTGGAGGTGGGAGGTGGGCAGAAAGCAGTGTGCCCTGAGCTTGGACGTCCCCAAGCTGGCCAGTCCGTGAGCCCCTCTTCCCGTCTTTAATCGCCCTGCCCTGTCAGAGCGGTCAGGTAAAGCAGTGATGGTTGGCTCTGCTCTCAGTGGACAGGCCGTGAAGAAAGGTCTGTTGAGGCAGTGTGGAGCCTTGGATAGTGGCCTTGATTCATTACCAAGTGCTCTCCTGGGGCCAGAGAGGTGTGGAAAGACCTTATCTAAGTGGCCGACACCAAGTTGTCCATGGAAATCTGAAGGTGGATGTGGCCCCGGAGAGCTGCAGAGGGGTAGAAATGTTTACCCTGCTGTGTCTCATTTTCCCAGCTTCACACTGTATTTATCTTTCCACAGCATTGTGCAGAAACCCTGCCATCTCTAGTTCGAGGCGGCAAGTAGGGTTGTTTTCGTTTTGCTAACACTAGTGTTACTGGGCTCTGTAACACTACCAGTGAGTGTGGACGCGGCGGAAAGGGACTACTTTGCAATGCTTTCAACAGCAGTGTTAAAACAGCCCTTTAACAAACCACCTTCCTTTCTTTTAAAAAAAAGTTTGAGGTAGGATTTTGTAAGTGAAATGCAGATCTGAAGTGTACACTGTTCAGGTCTGACAGATGCATACACGTAACCTGCATCCCTCAGATTTCTTTGTGCCCCTAGCCAGCTGATCCCAGAGTTGCTGCTCCCTTTTATTGTTACAGGTCTCTTCCGTCTGCTCTAGAACTTTGAAGAAATGGGCTCCGCGCACATGCACATTCATGTCTGGCTTTTTCCTCGCCATATTTTTGAGATTGATTTGTATTGTGTTAGATTGTACCTTTTTATTGTGGAGTAGTAGTTGACTATATGGATGTACACTGTAATTTATTCTTTTATTTTTATTTATTTATTTTTGGTACTGGGGCTCGAACTCGGGTCTTTGCACTTGCAAGTCATGCAGCAGAACCACTGAGCTAAATCCTTGGCCTCTGTAATTTATTCTTCTGTTGATGGCTACTTTGGGTATTTCCTGTTTGAGGTTCGTCTTAGTTTTTCTGGTGCTGAGACAAAATACCCAACACTCAAAGTTAAAGGAGAAAAAGTTTATTTAGTTCACAGTTTGGAGAGGTTTCATTCCATAGGCAGCTGGTTCTGAGGCAGGGTGGCATGGCAGAGGGGCATTGCAGGGGAGAAGCAGTCCATGGCGGACAAGGCAGGAGGCAGAGAGCTACAAGCCACAAGCCACAAGCCACAAGCACAGCTTTCTGTCCCTTCTGTCTTACCTAGGAGGGTAGCACTCACAGCCTTTAGTCCTGGTATCGCACTGTGAATCAGTCCAAGCAGTACACACTCGAGATCCAGCCTCCTCTGAAAAGCCCTGCCCATGACCACATGAGGTGTTGGGGGGACGTCTAGATACGAGCCGTAACAAAGCGGCTACATTCTGTACAAAGCTGTTGGAGGACATGCGTTCATTTCTCTTAGCTAAATACCCAAGACTGGGAATTCTGAGTCATAGGGTAGATACCTATCTAACCATTTGAAAATACCATTCCGTTTCTAACATGGTTATAGAGAAGTTTGACGTTCCGAGTGTTCTCCATCCTTGTCATGTGGTATTTTCTTTTTCTTTTTTTTTTTTGGTACCAGGGATTGAACTCAGGTCCTTGCGCTTGCAAGGCAGGCCACCAAACCGCTGAGCTAAATCCCCAGTCCTGTCATGTGGTATTTTCAATCTCCTGTTCTGTGGGGTTTTTTCCTCATTCTGCTGATTGTAACCTTTGATGCCGTTTTTACTACTGGGGTAGCCTGGTTCACCTATTTTGTCTTGTATCGCCAGAGCTTTTGTTGTCCTATCCAGGAAATCATAGCTACATCCAAAGTTGTGAAGCTTTTCTCTTACTTCCTTTGAAGGGTTTTATAGTTACAGCCCATATGCTTAGATTAATTTTTTATTGAGTGTTAGGTGAGGGTCCAGCTTCATTCTTTTGAATGTAGATGTTGTTTTCCCAGCACCACTGGTTTGACCAGATGGTCCTCTCCATTGCATGGGCCTGGCACACCTTTTAAAAATCTTTTGCCCACGTATGTGAGAGTGAATTTCAGGGCTCTCTGCTCTGTTACACCAGTTTAAGTGTTTGTCTTTATGTCAGTGTCACTCCGTATTGATTATTGTAGCTCTGTCCTAAGCTTTGAAAGCAGGAAAGGCGAGTCCTCTAACTTCGTCTGTCATTTTCAAGGTTGTTTTAGCGACCCGGAGTATCTTAAAAGTCCTTCTGTGTGTGTGGCTCTGGGGACTGAGCCGAGAGAGTGCGTGCAGTCTGCCACTGAGTCACCTCCCCGGTTCTCTGCCCCATTTCTGTTGTGCGATGTTGCCAGCTGTTAGCTTTTCATTACTGTGACAAAATACCTAGAAAAACAACTCAAAGGAAGGGTTTATTTGGCTCGCAGTTTCAGGTTAGTGTCCGTGGTCAGTGGGGTCCACTGCTGTGGGGGCGAGGTGACGGCCATCGTGGTGGAGCAGAGCCACTTGTGGAGCTGGGAGTTGAATGAGGGAAAGAGCCAGAGAGGAAGGGCCAGGGACGAGATGCAGTCCCCAGGGTCATGCCCCACCTCCTCCATGGCTCTTGCTTCCCAGGAGCGCAGCCAAGTAATCATTGATGAAGTGAGAGGCCCCAGGTCTGCCCCATTCTGAAAGCCCCACCTGTGGGCCCGTGAGACCTCTGGGGGACAATTTAGATCTACAGTGTAGGACACTCCCTGCCGCCAGGCTCCCTAGTGACTGGGACTATGGGCCCGTACGGAGCAGATGTTCTATTTCTGCAAAAGCTGCCATTGGGATCTTGCTAGGGATTGCCTTGAATCTGTCAGTTATTTTGGGGAGTGTTGTCAGCTTCGTAGTGGTGTTTTCCAATCTATGCACATGAGATTTTCCCTTTATTTTTACCCCCCCCTTATTAGTTATACAGGTTTCAGTTTGGCATTTTGTACATGCACATATATACTTTGCTCATTTTCACTCCCTCCATTGCTGTCTTTGCCCTGTTCCCTACCCTAGTCTCACATTGAGGGGATTCAGTGTAATAATATTTTGCCTTTTTTTTTTTTTTTTTGACAGGGTCTTGCTGTGTAGTTCAGGCAATTTGTTTGCTTTTTTTTTTTTTTGAGACAGGGTCTTGCTGTGTAGTTCAGGCTGGCTTTAAATTCACCATGTAGCCCAGCCCAGGCTGGCTTCAAACTCAGCAATCCTCCTGCCTCAGCCTCCTAAGTGCTGGGATCACAGGTGTACACCACTGTGCCTGGCAGTATTATGCTTTTATCCACCTCCCCATTACCTGCCTTACACACCCTTCCCTCCTCATTTCCTACCTCTGGTACAGTAATAATCTCCCTTTTACTTTCTTATCATTCTTTTTGAGAGTCCACGTACTATTAGAACATGCAGTAATGCACCTTTTTCTTTCTTTGAGACAGGATCTCACTGTGCAGTTCAGGCTGTCCATGCACTCACAGTGGTCCTCCTGCCTCAGCTTCCCAAGTGCTGAGATGACAGGGGTGCGCCGCCACGCCCAGCTTATGTGTGTCTGGGTTGGCTTTATTTTGTTCAACTCGGTGGTATTCAGATCCATCCATTTTTTTGCAAATGACAGAATTTCATCTTTCCTGAGGCCAAGTCGTAGGCGTTGTGCATGTTTATCACATTTCCTGTATGCATCTGTTGATGGCGTCTAGACTGGTCCCACACCCTGGATGTCGAATTGTGCTGCCTAACCCTGGGTACGCAGGCGTCTACAGTGCGCTGCCTCGAAGGCGTGGTACAGCTGGATCAGCGGTAGCTGTTTTTCAGTTTTTGCGGAGCTTCCATGCAGCTTTCCAGAGTGGCCCTACTAATTCACGTGGCCTCCCTGCCGCAGCCGTTGTCTCCATGTTCTTGATCTGACCAGAGAGAGATGGGATCTCAGTGTGGTTTTGATTGGCATCTTCCCTTTTAAATTTTTTATTAGTACTTTGTAGTTTTTTATATAAGTCTCTACATTCTTGGTTAGTTTATTCCTGAATATTTTTATTCTTTTTGATACTGTATATATTGAGTTGTTTTAAAATTTTTCTTTGGGGGTTATTGTTAGTGTATAGAAATGTGACTGATTTTTGTGTGTTTGTTATATATATCCCGCAAGTTGCCTGACTCATTTATTGGTTATAGCAGTTCTTTTATGTGTATGTGGACTCTTTAGGGTTTTCAATTGTAAGATCGTCATCTGTGAAATGAAATTTTACTTTTTCATTTCCAGCTTAGATACCCTAAAAGTTTCACATATTAGTGGTGACTCCAGTTTTTCAGTTTTTATTTTGGTTAATGAGTCTTTGCCCATATGATGCATGAAATTGTAACCCTATTTTCATACCTAAGTTGTACACTTTTAGCTTTTATGTTTTGGTCTATAGTATATCTGAAATTTTCATGTATTGAGTGACATGGAGTCAAGGGTCTTTTATTTATTACTGATATCTATGTCTAGTATCTCTGTTGAAAACACTTGCTTAAGATGGGCGTGGTGGCGCACGCCTGTAATCCCAGCACTCGGGAGGCTGAGGCAGGAGGATCACTGTGAGTTGAGACCAGCCTGGGCTACATAGTGAGTTCCAGGTCAGTTTCAACTACATAGTGAGACCCTGTCTCAAAAACACAAAAACAAAAACAAAAAACAAACAAAAGAGAACACTTCCTTAAATTCCCGTGACACTTTCG